ACGGAAAAATGCAACTTCTGAAGTTGCTGAAAAGACAAATTCAATGAAGAAAACAAAGAAATTGGCCGAAAAGCTTCTGGCAAAGAAAAAAGTGAGTTGAAACAAAATTCGATAAAGTTTAATTAGAGAAAAATTATTTCATACTGTAAATAATAAATGGGTTGATATTCCTGGGCTTCGACCCCAAACGTTTTCTAAACCAGATGATGGATTTTTTAATTCAATTTGAATTTCCATGAATTTCATACTATAAATTACATACTTGTTTTGCAGGACTCGCCAGATACATTAAAGGAAACACTGAAAAACTCCAGTAATTTGAAAGATTTGCAAGAAACATTACTGAAAATACGGGAACAAAAGAAAAAACAACAAGAAAAAGAAAAGGCGAAAAAAATTCAGAAGAAAAAGGAAAAGGAGCCGCAGAAAGAAGTTGTCATTTCACAAAAGCGTGAATTCGCGTATGAAACATTACACAGCCTTGCTCAAGAAGTTCCCAAAGGATTGCCTTTGCCTTTCAAATATAAGGTACGTGTAGCTTATTATTTTTAGCAGTTAACTCTTACACACACTGAAATGTTACTATTTTGGTTCATCAGACAAAGACAAAAAAAAGTATAAATAAAATCAATTTAATACTAAATGATAATGATAATGAGAACTTGTTTGCTTTTCCTCGTTCAGTCTCCCCTGTGTAGTGTGTATATGCTACATTCTGAGATTTTATTTTCGGTACTCCCGTAGTATGTGAAGCAAGATGGTGGACACAGAAACGTAGTAGGCTATGTGTACCAAGTTAGGGTCAGGCCAAAATTTAGTCCTATTTTTCTTACAAGTTTGGGAACTAGCCAAGTGACTCCCATAGTATTTGTACCTGAAATGATGGCCTAACCTCAACCTGGTAGTATACCTGGTATATAGTTCGGTGTCCACCATCTTGGTTCACATACTACGGGAGTACCTCGTTTTCTGATATAGGTTAATGATATTTTTTAATTTGGAAATGTGGGATATTTAGAATAATATTAGTCTTAATAGCTTTCTTCTTTTATGCTTCGTAGGAATTTTATTAGGGCTTTTTAATTGCTCAAAAAAAACTTGAATGATTTCTGAAATTTGATAATTTAAAATATTGAATAAAAACTTTTTTTAAGCCTTTTCTGCCCATGTTTTTAGATTCTCGCTGAAATGTTCAGATGTGCCGATACAGTAGTGGGGATGTTGTTCAATCGTCAGCAAGTCACTACGTGGGCAACATTGCAGAAGTCGGTCAAGGACATGATTAGAAAGTAAGTCGAGAATTCTCTATAGGGTCAAAAAAACTGATCAAATAGCTTAAACACATGGTTTAGGAACATTTATTCTTAGAGAAAAGCCTAATTGTATAGGGGACCATCTTCTCTTGTCCGGGTTCCAGACCATGTATGCCAGTTATATGTTTTATATGCATAGACCTGCTGGTAGGAGCCCTAAAAGACCAGTTGGTACATGAACCAAATATATAAAACATCATGTTAAGCTTATTATTCCAACATTACATATTGGTGAAGTTAAAGCAGTTAATATGCCATATTATCACTTGTGCGCGTCTTTATATAGTTATCATCATTTTTTTGATGTCACTTGACTCTAAACATAATTTTTATTTATTTCAGGAATTTTGAGCTGGAAAATCTTAGCCAGATAAAATCAGTGTTCCCATCCGCATATGAGTATCGTCAGGAGAAGGGGATCATGAGCTACAACGACCACATCAAACCGTCTGATTATCAGCTGACCCTTGAACCTATATTAGATGAAAGAGGTTAGCGTGTTTCTATTTTATTTAATATGACACTCATTCGTGGCTTTGGGCCAGCCGAGACCCTGTACAAGCAGTCCTGATATCTAAACTGTTGAGTTACTAAATTAGAACAAAGCAGCCATGAGACAAATTTTCCGTTCTGTGCTTTATAAGATTATTGGAATGAGGAGATGTTTTCAATTTTCCTGACATTTTCTTGTTCTAGAATGTGATCAGTACGGAACTGATTCACGTAAGCTAACCAGTGGGATGATGGTGAAACGACGACATCACTTTCTGGTTCAACTTGTCAACATTGTGAAAGATCATCATAAGGTAAGCAGGGTTTAAACTCCTGTTTGCATTTTGCATCATTTTTAGACATTTGTTTCAAGGTTTTGCTCAATAAAATTTTCTGGACAAGCAGAAACTTTTAATAATACCTAAGGCCTTGTTTCGATGTTGCTCATCTTATTTTATTATACCCTAGTTTGAGGGGCGGTGGTTATTATCAAAATTTCGAAGATATAGAAATCTTGGAATCATTCGATTTCGATTCAGAGTCGTCTCTAATTTATCGTGATAACATTCTAGAATTAGAATGAGTTTCCTATTGACGCACATCGGAGTCATAAAGGGTCGTTACTTTTACCCTGGTGCGCTACTTTACAGCTGCCCTATAGTACATCTAATGTTTTTATTTTTGTTCAGAAATTTTTATCAACTCTTGATCCACCGATAGAAGTTGAAAGCGACAAGATATTGCGTTGGCATCCACAATTTCCGCTTGACCGAGTCCCTGATGTGAGCCAATCAGATCTTCCGAAACCACCAGACAATGAGAAGGAAAGGTGCCACAGTGCAAAAGATGTTTTGGAGAAAGCAAGGAGTAAATTCACTAAAAAGGTGAAGTTATTATGAGACTATGTAGTAAATCCTTGGCTGTGGAATCTTGAAAATTCACACCTAGCTTCAAATTTCAAACTCAGCGTTCAACTAAAAAAAAGCAGTCTCGATTTTTGAATCTGAGACTTTGAAATTAGGACTCTACCTCTCACTATACTGTCAGAAAAAACAAGCCAAATTCTGACTGCACAGCGCTTGCGACAAAAGCTCAATTTTCACTGATATCGCATTCAATGTTACAATCGCAGAAAACATGCATGACAGAATAATTAAATTTTGCCAACAACAAAGGATGTGATGAATTAAATAGAAAACACCATTTTAGACAGATTAATATTGGTTGTATAGGCCTATATTTTTGTGCGAAGTCACTTCTCTAGCTCTGAATAAGGCCAAGATACCCAAGATTTTACTCTGTATCAGTATTTGCTTTTCGGAGTGAAAATGTGTTAGGTTGACTTTTAGACCACGAAGATCAGAAAAATTAAAAGTTAGCATTTTTTTTTTCAGGCTGTCGACGCTCTCAAAAAAGTTGCAGAAAAAGCATCTTTAACGCCAGAGAAATCTCGCCACAATGCTGTGATCATAGAAGAAAACAACAACATAACGCCAAAGAAACCTCAAACTCCAGTGAAATCTGCACCCGCTTTGAAAGGAGTCTCATCATCATTGTTAGCAAAGGTTCGTCAGATTTTATTCATCCTTAATTCATTCGCTCGGTGCTCCAGAAGTATGTGTACCAATATGGAGGTAACTAATTTTGTTCGCCTACTTTACATCAAGTTGTGTAAAGGGACTGAAACCTATGAACAGGGGGTATATTCACTTGGCTAATACAAACAGTCCTTGAACTCGTAATAGAACTGAAATAAGATAAATCGGAATAAACAACAGGGCAGAACCCTACCCACTTTTTTCAACATCAAATTTTCCTGTTTTAGATTCGAGCGAAGGAAGCTGAAAAGAAGTTGAAATCTATGGTACGATCGGACAATGATTCCAGAAAGCTTCAACAACTGATCAAGTTGCCTGATGTTGCAAGAGCTCTGAGAATGTATCCTTTGCACAATCAGTTATGTGATTTGTACAAATTTGCTCGAAGCAAGGTCCTAAGCAAAAAGATCACTTATATATTGTGAAATCCTCTAGTTGAACTTTAGACACAGCATCCCTGCAGCTGAAATTTCAAATTCAACCAAAGTTCGAATTTTAATATAACGTCAAAATTCATTTAAGGTAAACTAATAAGTAAATAAAGAAGTTGTTCAGTTTCATGGATAATTTTTGGCATATATCTAGGCGTTTTTCACAAACCCTTTATTGGTCAAATTTGATACAATGGACTCCTAATGAGTTGGGCCACACTATGTCAGTGTCATAAGGTAAATATCTATCTCTCCAATCGGAATGCCATCTACTCATTTATAGTATGATAAAATCAATTAGGTGTTATACAAAAACTAGCAATAATCAGTGTGTGCAAGAGCATAGTAGCTTGTTACTTCAAGCTGCCTTGTTTGGGTGGGATACCACAATTTCAGACTAACAAATAATCTGACACTAGGATTCCTTAACCAAACGTTTCCAGGTTATTTGTGACAGAAAAAAAGGCAGCTTTACCATTGGAATACATCGCTGATAAGCTTGTTAAATGTTGCACTGGGATTCTGACACCAGGTAAGGTTTTCTCTGGTGGAGATGAAAGCTGACTACTAAAAATCTTAATCATATGATGAACCATGCTTTTAAATTAATCACCACTAAATTCTAGTGAATTAACAGTTGTTCAATAAGTAAATGAATACCTCGCTGAGTCATTAAGTTTCTTTAACAGAGCCATGGGACTCTTGATGTAATATTTTGAGGACCTATGGTGTAGCTAAGTGATCGTGAGTGATTGAAGTGACCCCCATTTTATCCTAAATATAGCAGCTCTGCTTGTGTGTACAAAACGTGATCTAAAAATTTTCTTTTTTTAAAGCTGTTGTGCAAGAGCATGTCGTATTGTTAATTGAACATCAACCAACATGGATATCTCGAACGACTGTTCGGAATATTTGCTATGTGAGGATGGATAAGGGAAGAGAAATGTCTGATATTATCACTGATTTACAAAACAAAGTAAAAGAAGCTGAACGAGCTTGATTCCGCAGAATATTTACAATGGTAATATTATGTGAATAATTCTGCCTGATTTTATCAAAAGTGAAGAATTGTGTTAAATGAGACTGGCAGAACTTTAGTAATGATGTGCTTATGTGTTTCATTCTGCCAGTGTTTTTATCAGTTTAATTATGTGGACTGTACTTGTCAGTTGTTTTTATCAATATCATACTATTATGACATTTGGTTTGTGAAAAAATAGATGGGCTATTTAAAGTTTTCTGTGGCTACTTTTGAGTGAGTGGAAGTGACATTGCTACTTCTGAGTGAGTGTCCATAACTTTGCTCATCGATGGCTCTCTCTATTACTTTTGAGTGAGTGCCCATAACTCTGCTTTCTACAAATCCTCTCCAAAAATAAATTTTATCTCAATAGAACAATAAGTTTTATTATATTTCCACCTAAAAAAGACTTGTATGAGGCCCATTCCTAGACCAAATAATAATGACTGATTCGCCTGTTGAAATAACTATGACCATCTGTGTGCTATTTATAGGCTAGGATAAATTCAATACTTCTGACATTAGGATTTGGGTGGTATCTAATTTGGTATGTGGAACCATGCATACCAATCTTTTTTTTATCCCACTGTAGTAGCATTTATTCTGAGCATACTGCCACTCATAGCGTAGTGTTGGTATTTGTATTACAAAAATCTAGCGAATCTGTCAAAAGGGCAATTTTGCAATAAATGCTCGATCTTTCATACTAAACTGCCAACTCACGTCAATATGCCTTTTTGTGCCTACAAGACCTTAATATGCAGTCCTGTTAGTTTTCAATATCCTTTTCTGATCTCACTTCATCCACCATCCTTAAACTTGATGAGTCCAGATGTTACTGTATTTTTATCATACGAGAGCTAACAAAACTGCTCAGGTGCACGTATAGTTTATGGCAGAGCATTACAGCATAGAGACCATTTTTATTAGAAAACTCACTGGTAATTCATTTCGTCTTTTTGCTGCTGCTATTTGTGGGTTCGTATGATTCTAATTTACTTTCCATTTTCGCCAATTCTTTTATTTCATTTTTTTCGATGTCGTGCTATGTTGTTTTTCAAACCATGGGAATAAAACTGTGAAACAAGGTTAGACTTCTGCTCTGGGTCGTTTCTTGAATCAGTAAAGTTCAGGCTGATATAGTTGCATGGTGGGGGTATGGGAATATTGGGTTTACAGCTCACTGTTTGTTGGCTTGAAGGCATGAATACTCGTGGAATATTATTTATGCTAAGTGTTGTAGCTGCTCAATGAGTTTGTAATGGTAGAGAGGGTGGGACATTGGATTAACTAATTAGTGTCATGTGTTAAAGATGGTTCCATTACATTTGAACTCATGACAATTGCACCTGCGTGCTATTTCACCTATGGAAATTTTTTTTGCTTTACGGATATTTGAACCTATACTAACCCTAACCCATAGATTGAACTCGCGGATATACACATGGGTTCAATGGTACGATCACCGTTGAAGATCTATCGCTCAACACCCCAGTATTTCCATAAATAGTATTATCTAACATCTCCCTATTTGCTTGTTTTGAGTAAAAGTTCGGGAAACACTTCATAAAAAATAGAACAATGTTAAAGCTAATTGTTTTTGCATAAATATTTTTGCCGATTCTGTATTCCCGAAAAAATTACATCCTCCCATAATGTCTTATTGAACAGCTACAATCACTGCAATACGTGCGTTCCACAGAACTCAATTTTAGCACAAAGGTCGATTATGTCGGAAAAAACTTCCGTTCATTTCAGTCAAATAACATTCGCGTAAATGTTCATTCTCTCAAATTGAACCGAGAAGAAGCTCGTCACGTAAAGAGCTTTCATGCGAAAGTTCATCTTGTCAAATCAGATTTGCGCGAGCAACCGTAGGCGCCAGCAAATGTATTTTCACGCAATATGTCATTGATATAAATTTACAACCTGAAATAAAGATTCTGCATTATTATGATCCGATCGACCAACGACTTACCGATCGACCAAAAAGAAATTCAATGAAGAAATTTCATAACTTACTGGCGTCATCTCGCGGTTCCACTAAACCTCAAAGTATTGCAACAGATGGATTTAATCACAACGCCTACGTCATGCCGTCTACGCGTGTTTGACGTTTTGTCTGTCTTCTGAGCGTTTTTAAACCGCTATCATTTTTGAGACAAGCGCCGGAAGACATGGTTAAATATAAATTGTATTATTTTCTTTCACGCGGAAGAGCCGAAATGATCAGGTTTATTTTTGCCTACGTTGGAGTTGATTATGAAGATATCAGAATACCCGACAGCGAGTGGCCGAAACACAAAGATGGAATGCCACTTCAAGAGATGCCAGTTTTGGAAATTGACGGAGAAAGATTGTGCCAATCAACCGCTATATACAGGCACCTTGCTCGCGAGTACTTACTATATGGATCGAATACCAAAGAAGCGTTTTATATTGACATGTATTGTGCATGTTTTGATGAAATTGGACAAAAATATCCTTTCAGAGAGCAAGACAAATCTCGTAAGGAGTTATTAATCAAAGACTTTGAAAAATCTGCGCCAAAATCTCTTCTGAGGGTAGAAAATTTAATGATGAAGTATGGACATGGTAGTAAGTTTATTTTGAATAAAATCAGCCTGGCCGACTTTTATTTGTTGTCATTTGGCGACTTCTTGTTGCCATTATGTAGTGAAATAGTTTCTGGAGTGCCAAAAATTGCGGATGTCTATGAAAATATACGAAACCACCCTAATATGGTTTCGTGGATTAAAAAAAGGCCGGTAACACAACTTTAATTTAATAGTTATTTTTGTTAAACCTATTTTTTGCTTTTAGTATCTTTAGCATACCGGTATATTTAATTTTTTGTATAGTAGACTACAGTAGTCTGGTAGCAAGTTCTGAAGTTTGTTCAAAATAGGGTTCAGTCCCCAAAGATTGTGAAGAATACTAATAGACTTAATCTGAATAGAGGAGTTGGAAGTGACTACACTAAGAGCTATTTATTGAACCCGAGACAGGGATGTCAGTGGCACATTGCTTTTAACTATCAATGTCATCACTGTCCAGCTGTCTGTCAGAGGCGCAGTTCTTACTACTTCATGGCAGCTCCAGCCACGAACGAACCGAGAGAGATTTATTTCCACAAACAATGAAAAAACAATATTAAATAAACCGTGGCAGCTCTTGCCATGTTTTTATAGCGCTACTCAGTATTCAGTAATCAGTATTAACGGTATATTCACAAATTAATGTACCAGATTTTAATTGATCATGTGGAATTATATCTACTTCAGTACTTAAACCCTAACCTTAACTCCAAATCAATCAAAACTGTATCCATAAGAAAAACGTTCCAACTTACCCAATATTTGTCATCATAATAGACAGTCCTGTCTTTACGGCCCACCTGCCGCGGTTACGGCAGCAAGATTTTACCTGCCATTGGTTTTCAATTTGCTGCCGCGGTAACGGCAGCTCGACATTGGTTTGTGGCAGCTAAATAGTCAAGTTGCCATGAGTTTGGCCGTAGCGACCATGGTATGGAAATACCGCCATGGTTTTGCGGCAGCTGCAGATGCCACAGGTCTGTCAGACACAGGTGGAAGTCTTGGGATAAAATTTGAGAATCATATCATAATAATCACTTGTTATTGTAGTAATAACTAATGCATATGGCAAACCTTTTGTCTAGTTACCGTACCGGTCCTTGTAGAGTAGTTAGCCAGTTTTTGAAAGTACTGTATGGACTAAATGATGCAGGAAGAGGTAACCGACCAACAGTTACTTGAACCACCCTACGGCGACGAGGAATCAAGTAATCCTTTTGCACATAACTATCTTCGCATGGCATTCGAACCTGCAAACACATACATCTGTACATGGTAATCAGAGGTGCGGTGGCGAGCGTATTCCTAACGCTTAGCATGATGTGCTACACTGCCAAGCTATTAAATCTCATATGTATGCAATAGACCAGTCAGACTGTAATTGAATTTAAAAGTGGGTTGGCTGATAATTGATTGTGTTTATGTTTTAGATGTTTCTATAAATAAATTATATTCTTTATTATTTTTTTTATAAATCAATGAGAAGAATGCGATATTGAAAAATTCCACTTGTTTCAAGAACTTTACAAACTGAAAGTCTATGTCATGGAAAATAATAAACATTTCTGACAAAAATTAAATATTTTTAAATAAAATTGACCATGGCTCGACATCGGAATATTCGTAACGCAAAAAGTTACGACTACGACTATGATGACGATGATATTTTCGGGCAATCATACGAAGATGATTACGGTGTTTCTCCAGGCACTATGGCGCAATACTCTTACTCAAGATCAAGACGGGATGATTTTTCTACATTTATGCCATCGGAGTCGACTGTACAAGAAGCAGATGAGGATGCTTTTGATGAAATGGATAGAGGAGGGATGCAGAAATCAATGAATACTGGACAGAAATTACAAACCGGTAATGAGATTCTTATCCAATCTTGTATAGAGATGATGCATGACGTTGTAGGAGAAAGCTATTCAGATCAAGCAATGAAGGAGGCAGCAATTAAAGCTGATTTTGATGTTGAACGCGCCATAAACTTTCTCCTCTCATCTCCAAAGACAGAAAACTGTCCAATTGTAACTCAAAGTAGTGGGTTAGAGTTTTCCATGAATCAGCCCCCTTTGGAACAAAGACAACGCAGAAACCGAAGGAATAATAATGATTCGGATATTTCAGCACCGAGTACGGAAAAACGAAAATTGAATCCTAATATTTTAGCTAATCAAGGTCATGTAACCAAAGTAGTTTCATCAACTACTCCTGGAAAAACTGGTTTTGCCATGAACAACGCTAATCAAAAAGACAACGGAAGCTATAGAAATACAAACGGAGTTTCGAGTCAGCCAAAAAAAACAAAACCTAACTCAGGAATTACTTCTGTCAATTCAAGTTTTAAAAATTTGCAAATTGAAAATGGTGAAGTTAAAAAAGCAACAATACCAAAACCGTCCATTCCGCTGCAAACATTAATGGTTGAAAAAAGTGAAAGCGCCTCGTTATCACCAAATGTAAAACAAAAATCTGAGGAACCTCAACCTTCTATGGTGGAATATAAGAACACAAAACACGCTGCTGAAATTATTGCAAAATACGAAGAGCGCATGAAACTAGCAAAACCTCTTATAAGCATGGTCGTTATTGGTCATGTTGACGCTGGAAAATCAACGTTAATGGGACATATTCTATATCAGTCTGGTGAAGTATCGAAACGCGCAATGCATAAGTACGAGCAGGAGTCACGGAAGATCGGGAAAGCATCGTTTGCTTATGCCTGGGTTTTGGACGAAACCGGGGAGGAAAGGTCTCGTGGTGTAACAATGGATGTTGGTCTCACTCGATTCGAGACAAAAAATCGAGTCATCACACTCATGGACGCTCCCGGTCACAAGGATTTCATCCCGAATATGATAACAGGTAAATATTCAGTATTATTGCTTCTGCACTATGTTGGCAATGCAGGTAAAAAATATTGGATTAAATTCTATACCCACCACCTCACCAAGGGTGTAATAAATTGGGCAGACAATGACAAAGCCACTATGTCTTACTTATTGAAAAGTATGATAAATAAATAAAATTATAGAAAATAGTACCCTTCAAAAAAAAATGTGGCCAGCCCGAAATTTTTTTTGATTTGAACAAGGCTAGATATAAGCAGACCCCTCAGCTTCCCCTGGCTACGAATGGCCCTTTCTTGTATCGGTGGTAGAAGAGCCTCATTTGGGTGTAAGGTGTAAAAACACCTCAAACTAGAACTGTCAAAAGCATAAGTTTTGTTCATACCAACTAATTATAAAATTTATTTTGTAGGCGCCTCACAGGCAGATGTGGCAGTTCTTGTCATTAATGCAACGACCGGAGAATTTGAAGCTGGTTTTGATCTGGGTGGACAAACCAGAGAACATTCATTGCTGGTTCGATCTCTCGGGATCGCTCAACTTGCCGTCGCCATAAACAAATTGGACACGGTCGGATGGTCACAAAAAAGATTCAATGATATTGTTTCAAAGTTGTCTTCATTTCTGAAACAGGTTGGTTTGGACTTCTGTGGTTTTTGCTCTGAATTGAATTCCCATTGAGACTTGAAGATCTCCGCAAGAATGGTTATTTGCTATTATTACCAATGCTCGCGTTTCAAGTTCAATCTGGTCATTTTTTGTCTTTCTGAATTGGCTAGCTTCATGCTGTGGAATGGGGAAACGCTACAACTAGCTTATTAAACTCTTCATTTGGGGTTTACATTAATTTTGACTCTTGACTTAGAAGAAAACCAATTTCGATATCACAAACTTTAGCATATGCGATGCTTGTTCGCTTGATGAAAAGGCTTGAAAAACTTAATGCTTCTTGAGTTTTAGTCAGAACGTTTTACTTTGATAATAACCACTGAAAGTCTATCATTTCGAGTCTTGAAGGATTCAATTTTTGATTCAATTCAATTTTTGGGCCCAAACTTAAGATAGTTTGGAAATGAATCAGGCCATAATATTAACAAAATCAACGAAAACCTATGTAACTCTTACTCCATAGCCCAGTGGTCGGGAACCCATTGCTCGCGAGTCATATATGGCTCTTTTGGTGACGGCATATGGCTCCATATTCTAAGGCTAAGCTTACTATTGTTGCGAGATTTCAAACTCTTTTATAGCCAAATTTGGCAGAAAATCTGCCAATACGTTTGAGAACGTGTGCCCAGCCGGGTCGTAGTTTGCTGACCCCTGGCCTAAACGAAGGAAGTGTGATCCGTTTAAGGCCCGCAGCGACAACACGCAGAATCAGAATATACATTAAATGTATATTGACTTTGTAGGCTATGTGTTGACTTTTGAGTAAAAATTTCAAACCTGGTTAAGTTAAGAGATGCTATATGGCTTGCACGGAAATGCATTTGAAAATATGTACATTTTATGGCTCTCTTGACCAAAAAGGCTCCTGACCCCTGCCATAACCATTGCAAATACCAAATAAACAACTTTAAAAACTTTTACTTTTATATTTAGGCAGGATTCAAGGACTCTGATGTTACTTTTGTACCAGTCAGTGGATTACTGGGACAGAATCTGACCAAACTAGGAACAGACGAGAAATTGACATCTTGGTATAAGGGACCTTGTCTCGTTGATGTGATTGACAAATTCAAACCTCCACAAAGACCTGTGGACTACCCTCTACGTTTCTGCGTAACCGACGTAGTACGCGGACAAGGCACTGGCATCAATGTCAGTGGTAAAGTTGAAACTGGAGGGGTAAAGGTCGGATCAAAAGTCGTGGTATTACCAGCTGGTGAACAATCTTTAGTAAAGGGAATAGAATTTCATGACGGCGCCCGTGCCGAAGTCGTACTTGCGGGAGACCACGCCACACTAACATGCCACGGAGTTGACATCATGAAAATACATACAGGGAATGTTTTAAGCGACATTAAAAATCCGATTCCAGTCGTTTCACGATTCCAAGCCCGAATAATAATCTTCAATATTGCGGTCCCGATAACTCGTGGGTTTCCTGTAGAATTACATTACAAAGCTGCATCTGAACCGGCAGTCATCAAACGGTTGTTGAGTGTTTTACATAAAAGCACGGGCGAAGTTGTCGCTAAAAAACCCAAAGTAATTTTGAAAGGACAGAATGTGATGGTACAAATGATGACCCATAGACCTATATGTATTGAGGAATACCATAAAGTTAAAGAAATGGGAAGATTCACGTTAAGGTACGGAGGGTCAACCATAGCTGCTGGTGTAGTTACAGATGTTTTAAAATAAATGCTGCAATTTTGTGTTACTGTACAGATGGGTGAATCAAGTTCATTCAACGAAATCAATTACATTATCTTCCCCATACCCAACATGGGCTGATAATGATAACTGCACAACAGGCCATGGTCGCATTACGAATAAAACAGTCTTATCTCACTCCAGGGATAAATAAAAATTTCTATATATACAATCCGTGAATAAATTGAAGGTCTTTCTGCGTACCTTCTTATTTTTAGGTGTTTTCACTTAAATCAAGGCTCTTTACAGTTGGCCGCTAAGTATTTCAAAAGCTAATATCATTGAAGTGCTGGGCAGGGGCGTATCTACGTAAAATGGCGCCCATGGCAAAGTCTAAAAATGTCCAACTTGATAGTTGTTTGACAATTCATAATAACTATTTTTGAATTAAGATACTTGTACAATTCCCAATTTAAAATTAGTTCATTGAAACTTTTCATGACTAATACTTTTCGCACTTTTTTGCGCCCCTGTTCAAGCGCCGCCCATGGCACGAGCTATGGCTGCCACACCCTAGATACGCCACTGGTGCTGGGATCTTTTCAGTTCAGCCTCGGAAACCCAGTTTTTTACCACCCTGGGCAAGATGTGTGTCTTGGTCATTTGTCTTCTGTAACAGAAGGTATAATAAACTTTTCATTTATTTCTTTTGAAATTGCTTGGCTGATTATCATGAGCTGCTTGCTTTACTGCGAAGTATTTGGTAACTGGATGAAATGTGTGCATCGATTCGGGCCCTTTTCTTTATAATTTTAGCAATAATTCTATTTTCACACTAATTCGGGGAGGTTTTTGCGTGTAACTGTGAGAAGCATTGTGTCTATTAGAGACCACTTGTACATAACGATACTGACTGGTTTTAAATATAGGTTTCCATGTTCAGACAAATCATAGAAAGGGTCCGTAGCACTGAAGTGTTGCCTGTTATAATATAATTTGATTGAGATTTCTTAAATAGTCTTGCATTCTTCAAATTGGAAAGTCATATTTCTTGGTTCAATATTTAATTCTTTGCCATCCATAAGCTTACTGTTATATTTATTGTATTTTAACTTAATTTTTTGTTGTAAATAATATAGAAAATGTGGTTCTGGTCACGCTTGTGTTAACATACGGCTGCTATGCTATTTAGAGGGTGTCGATTCTGCAAGTTTCAGTTCGCTGGTTTCAACTTGCACCTGTAATTCCTCTTTAGTGGTGTAGTAGTTGGTGTGCTTGCCCAGTAAAGGATGACCAAGTTGAGTAAGCACAATTATATTCCCGAGTCTTATAAATACTGAACTTTGTTTATCTTCACCCATGACTGGCAAATAAGTAAAGAAAAAAACAGATTCGAAAGCTAATGGAATCTCCAATGCCTTTTTCCTTTGTGAATACTCCTAATTTGAGTCAGGCGTTGAAATTTCTTGTCTTGGGCTTCCTAACAGCTTTGACCATCATACAATATGTATTTGTGAATGATAATACTGTGTCAATAAAATTAGTTTATTAGATGGGTTACAATCCGAATAGGCATATAGAATTAAGACCAGATACAATTGCATCAAGAGTAATATTAATCTTGGATTCTCAAAATATCATTTTGTGTTTGAGCAAGTGATTTTTCTAATAATAGTTTTATCACATTACCCTTTGAACAACTACATATTTGGAAAAATTTGTCATCAATGTTGCAATTTTAAGTTCTCGAAGTGAACACTCATTTATGCTGTAACTTTATATAGAACTCTATTTTATGAGTCTCTGCTATTCCATGACTAGCGATGCTGTATGAACATGTATATTTCAAAAAAATATGGCTTAATGCTCATTCAATGTTTGTGTATGTCTCTGTCAGTGGTGAGGTTACAGGCATGCTGGTTAGTTGCCAGTAAAATTCGATCTTGTGAGTATGTTCGATCACGAAAAATGTAGTACTCCACACTCTGTCCACAGATTTTTCCATACTCCCGATAGGCTGCAGCCCCTTTACACAACTTGATGTAAAGTAAGTATTCCATATTGGTACACACACTTCTAGAGCACCGATTTTCCTACCATATACCTTTGGTCATCTATATTTGTAAAATTCCTTGCTAAATTTTAAGCATAAGACAGCACACTGACACATTCAATAAACTTCACCAAAGCAGTTTGCAACACAGACATCATATATATAAAACAAAGTTGGATTGGATATTGGATATTTTTCTTTGCAGCATGTTAATTACGGTAGATTGTAATAAATCCTGTAGTTTTTGTGCAGTAAAGCCCTCCACCTATTGTATAGAATAATTTGTAGGTTTTGAGTCAAGTTAATTTTATCCAACCAGTAAAGAACAATCACATACAATATTTAAAAGAGGTAATCATACAATTTTACCATGGAAGGGAAGCCGCGGAGAACCAAATCTGGCTATCGAGCAGCGACACCCAAGGTTTTTAATATCTAGTTAAAAGATCTGATAATTTGATTATAGAAATAGATAATTATTGGAGATTAGATACGAGAGCCATCATATCGCAGATAATGGGGGTTGCTCCACTTCGACTGGATTAAATGTGAAGTCCTGAATACAATTTTGTAAATCATTTGGCCCAATCCAATTGACAGCAGTCAGTGTTATTGGATTATTCCATTTGAAGAAATTGGGCGCCAAACCAAGGCCATATTGAAGCAGAGTATTGTGGCCCCTTTGCCTGAGCCGATCGCATTTCGGGTCACAGAATTCTCGTAGTATAGCGTTTCAAGTCACTTTACAAGCTCTTATTATGAGCAGACCCCAAAGAACGAATAAAGGTGACATGACGCCGGCTGCTGATGTCTTTTTTGCACCTTCTAATAGCTGGCAGAGTAGCATCTGTAAATATAAAAAATAATTCAAGCATCTGTAAAAATAATTTTGTATTGTTAAATTTGCTTCAAATGGGGTTCCGAAAGGTCATGATCGGAGATAGAGGATTGCTTGTAATCCAATCACTCCCCAACCAGACTTTCATTTAGATTTATAATACTTTGTTCAATTTATTTTGTGGCAAAAACTTTATATAAATCTGAATGTAGATATAATTGGACCCAAAAATCGATTAATCATGACTGTTACTTATTAAAACTGAAAACTTTAAGGAATTCTATCTCACACTCCAATTCCTAAGATGAGACTAACCTTGAATAAGAACAGCAGCACTAAGAGTAACGAAACCCACAAAACTCTTCTAAATGCTTCTTTGTGGTTTCCTTTATGAAAAGTACGAATAAACACAATGGTGCTGAAATATAAAGTCATTCCATCCGCAGCAAACATTGGAATGAAAATCCTCCACCATGATATGTCAGCAAAGCTTTCAAGTTCAACCTATGAAGATGAACATATCATAATTATTTAAGAAACGTCAAAAAAAAATTGCTTGCTATTCAACAAGTCTTCTAAAAACAGATAATTGAAGTTGCAGTTTATCTGTTAAATTTATGTTGAATTTTTAGAAGTATAATCGAACATATACCGGTATCAATATTTTTCGGTTAATTAAACCCTTTTTCGCCTTGGTACTATACAGTAAAAACTGATATAATTTTTATCCCAAATTGTTGGAAAAATCATAAGTCAAACATACCTTGCACATGATGAGAATGGTGCAAACCAATAGGCATGATAGCTGGATAAAAATTTCAAAAGAAGAAAATCCGAGCCATTTTATAACATCCTTGTTAGCAAGTAACATTTTTTTCTTTCAATGGAATAGTCGGCGCTGAGCAGACGGCTTACTGTCACAAGAAGCGGAGCTAACCGTATTCGCAGAGGCACAGGAAATGGAATAGTGCCGTATATGCGAAAACACTCGCTGGTAATTGGCGAGAATAAAGTTTCGCGAAAACAGACTTTTGCTAGAAATTATTTATGGAAATTAATCAAATAGTGACGTATATGCACAAAAATCACCGACTAAGGCAGCAAGAATAAATTTTTGTAAAAAAAGACTTTTTGTAGCAACGTTTTCATATAAATAATCTTTTTAGGATAGCAGTTTTGTGGGAACGTTTAGTCAGCTTCAGTACGATTTGACTTTGATCGATAAAGATGTTTATTTTATCATTGCCTCAATTTAACTTGTGAAATAAGAAAGTGATAAACAGCATTACCAGGAGGTATACTTGACAACCCCCACCTAAATGATTCGATTCAGTGGTCAGAATCGTGCTAAAATATGACCAGATTCCAGATCCTTGCGATAATATGAAAGTTTTCTTTCAGATTTTAGGTTATTATTTTACCATTGCGCGAACCCATTAGCTAATCATTAGAAATCGCGATAATCGTTTGGCACTAACAATCGTTAGCGAAAATCTCGAATTATGCCAAATTTTCAGAAACATTCAAAGCTGATTAAATATTTTTACAAACATAAAACGCTTATGTTGAATTAATGCTTATAAATGCTAATATAAGAGAAGATGCCCAGAGTTATTTCACCAAATTAGTCGCATTTGTCTGTGTTAAAACATCTCCCCCGAGTAGTCAATACTGTATCTGGCAAGTGGGTTTTACGTTTTATGACGAACACTAAAATTTTGAATTCATTCAAATTACATTATTTGATAACAATGTAATTGTTGTGACGTAACAAATGTGTTAAATACAGTTGCCAAAAAGGTATTCCTCCGCTAAATTTAGTTCGAAATAAATTTAAAAATCAAGTACTTCTAATGTAATTTACTTTAAAAAAAATTGAAAATGTATTGAATATAATGAATAAGCATTAAAAGTGGCCTAATAAATAAATTTAAGAGTTGTATTTTATAAATTGTATTTTCAAATTGCGGAAGAATATACCATGATTCTTCGATTGTCGTCTGCAAATTTCAAAATAAAAACATTCTTGACAAAATTTTCCGACGCCCCTGGATTTGTTTGTTTCTATCTGTTTTCCCCACCGATTGTTAGAAAAATTCTATTTTTCTGATAGCGGGGAAGAATTTAAACCGCCCAGTCATGGCGGACGGTCCACCGTCAACTTCAGCTGGCGAGAAGCCTCAAACCGTTCCCAAACGGCTTCGAGAAATCAAAGGAGCAGCAGCTTCAAATCGAAGAGCAAGTTTAGCCGGAAATGTGTACAACTACACGGAAACTTTGAAAGAAAAACAGGTTTGTCGTTTTCTAGCCTACCTAATAATAAATTCCATTGGAAACTTGCAATTAAACACCCTAACTTCTATTGACATTCAATGGTGTAACGTTAAGCTATTTTAGTTTATTAGACTGATGGTAACGCAGGTAACAACAAGCTCATATATTATATTTAACGTTGTGAGTTTTATTATTGTATCGGCGATCAGGCAAGTCCTCAAAGTGAAGGCGTGACTAAACTGTAACAGGTGATGGTAACTAGTCTATGTCATTTAAATCAGTGGTTCCCAACCATTCTACCCTGGCGGACGGTAAAATTGAATAATATGTACTCGCGGACCGGCAAAAATTGAAATAAGTTGAACAGAGAACAAGAGAGCTATGCTCAAATATATGGACACGTAGCGCCACCCAGTGGATATAATTTTGATGACGTCATAGCGAAAAAAAAGTAATAGCCTTCTGGAGAAATTTTATCTTTAACCACTGAAAATATCAAAGCAATTGGTCCAGTATTCGAAGAGAAAAGCGATTTTTTAAAAATGGAGACCGAGACAAATAACAATAACAACAAAATTTTGAAACGATCGTTATGGCCACTAAACGTGTCCAATAAACGTGTCCAATAATAACATATATTTGCGTAATGTCGAGCAATCACTATGCTTTTAGAAGTAAAAGGCACACTTCAAAACGCGAGGAAAAACTATCAAATAATGTGCCGACCAAAAATTGAAATGGGTGGAATATAAAATAATAACATATATTTGCGTCATAAAATGCAGTGCTGGGCGCCCATCATGCGTAAAAAGGCACACATTTCCAATAAAAAACATGCCCATGCTAAATCATGTACAGACATAATTATCTCCAGTGAGAATTTTGCTTCTGTTTCGTTTCCAATACAGGATTGCAAACGGGGCATCAAAAAAGGTTTTTGTAACATTTAGCTCTGCAGCGGCTCACAGTTGTTTTATTTGCTTCGTTTTAATTAAAGCTAGAAGTAACTGGTTGAAAATTCGAACAACAGTTTGATCGCTCGATAACTTAGCGATGAGTATTCGTTACCAAGAGAGCTCAAGAATGAATTGTGACAGTGATTCCTTTATAAATCTGGACTGTGAAGTAGAGGTTTATTCGTGTTCATCATATCAATTCTTACGCCGTTGATCGACTCCCCAAACAGAATGAATTTATATTACAATGATAAAGTCGTTGCTATCTTGCACCAGGCTCAAAATCCTGCCGTGCATCACTCGGAAAAGGTCTCAGCGGCCAGTGCTTTTATTGCGCGTCTAGTGACGGCCTGCATGACCGCAACAAGTTCATATCTCGCTGAGTGTCAAGGTGAAGCTCTGGAATATTATACTGTTCTTGACAGTTTTCGGGTTGAATGAACAAATAAATATTCATAACCTTTTATTTGTATGGTAATATTAATCAAGAAAAGCATGCAGAACGGAAAAGGCACACATGCTGATTTTCAGGTTTCTAAATCCTGCGAGATTTGACGAAGCGTTTTCGCCATGAATCGTAACTGATAAAGCGAAAAGTGTGATTACTCGGCGCCAAGACGTCGCCAGGCCATTAATACCGAACTTATCAAAGAGCAATATGGTGGCGGATGTGAAATTGCGTAATAAACCAACGTAACTTCGTCTTATTGATCAAGAAAAGCATGCATAAAGAAAAAAGCACACATGCTGATTTTCAGGTCTAAGATTCTTGCGAGATTTAACGGAGCGCTTTCGCGATGAATCGAAACCGGGAAAGCGAAAAGTGTGATTACACGTCGCCGGGCCGTACTTATCAAACAGCAATATGACGGCGGAAGAGAAATTGCGTAATAAATCAACGCAACTTCATCTTTTCGGTATCGGTAAATCGATTGAGACGGCAGAAAAACAAAACGACGAAATCTCCCGCTGGCCGGCAAAAAAGCTTCGCGGAACGGCGGTTGGGAACCACGGATTTAAATAACGGTCATCTCTTTTCATAAAGTTTGTTCTATTATTAACGAAAAGTTTTATGGAGAAATTGAATTAGCTAACTTGGACTCAAATTTCGGAGAAGAGCCGCAACGTGTCTCATAGAAATATATAATAACGTAGCCTATCAGGGAAAAGTTTTGTAAATAAGTTAACAAGTTTAAAAAAATAATAAAAATTTAAAGTAATTTTCTCATCACTCAGGCACGTTATCGCGAGGATCGTGATAAGCGTAAAGTTCGTTTGGCAGCCACACACAAATACTTCGTTCACTATGTTGCCGATCATTTGGAATTGGAAAATGCTTATGTGGAAGATTTTGTGTTGGACTCAGCTGAAGTAAGCGTTTATATTAAATATACCTTTGCTTTTATTTTTCCAGAAATAAATATAAATCGCCAATCAACAAACAATCAAGATGTTTGGCGCTGCATGCCAATGTCAAAAACACCCTTGCCTGTACATCACAAATAACTCGTAATAAATAACTCGTGGGTTCGCAAGTTCGAATCTGAATTGTTTTCAATATATAACTAATATATGACTAATATTTTACATATTGTATATATTATGAATGTTTGGTGTTTCTTATTTGTGAATGTTGTGTATATGAATTAATAAATTCATTTACCCTTCTATGCCGTTTACTTTTTTTGTGTAAGTGCGCCTTTAGTTTTATTCCTGCTAATTTTGCGCGGCGCGAACAAAAAGGAAACCGCTGCCGTAAACGATCAAATATTGTTTGAAAGTGAATGCAGAGAGAGAAGTACGATCGGCGATATCAGACTTTCATTCGCGTTAGGATCATTAATTAATGAGCTCAAAAAGCAAACTCGCGTATCGCATCATTAAAGTTGCGAATTACAGAAAGTAAGCGCGATGTGAATTTCAAAAGTTTGGGAACTCTTGACTATGGGCGGACATGTGTTTATCCAACATCAATTCGCATCTGTTCATGATTTTGAAAAAATAAATTCTTTCTAATTTGCTCCTTCGCGACAGGTACTCGCTACTCGAGGAGAGGCACTTATGCGACGTTCGGTCTGGCTATCCCAATGAAAATATGAAAAATTTGAGCCTGCTTAGTTGTTGGGCTCGTTATGATAACTTCATACTTGCGTTACATGCCGGTGATCAAATTCAATGCAAGTTGGTCGTTATTGCAAAGGCATTTTCAATGATGAATTATGATTTTTTGCATCATATTATTTACAATGATAAATATCCAAACATTCAGGACATTCTTTCAAAATTTCATTAATTTTTTATCACTTTGCATTTAATGCATTCACCCCAAACAAGGCTCTGGACAAGCAGCTATGTTTTCACCAATTTGACATAAACTTGCTCTATTTATTACAACTTGGCTGAGATGGAAAATAGCCTACTTGACAATAATAGTAGTGAGAGCGCGTTCATTGCTTGATTTTACCGTAAACTCGTTTTAATAAAATGAAATTTATCTATTAGGCTACAACATTTATGATAATTACTAGTAGGTGGTGTTTTTTGACTTTTTTCAACTGCATTATAATAAATTTCAGCAACTTGACTTTTTGGATGATTTTATCAGAAAAGGTGGGAGAAAAACTCTCATGTTTTATTACCAGGAAGGAGAACCTCCTAAACTGGGTAAGTTGTTGATTTTGGGAACAGAAATATTGCAGATTTTTCAGCTATTTAGCTATG